TTTTTTTTTGTATTTTATTTGTATTATCTAGAGACAAGAGTGTAAATTCATTGCTTGTAGAAATTTTTTTACTAGAAGTTTCTATAGATTCGAATTCGAATTGATTTGTTTCAATAATTGATTCAAATTCGTTTGTTTTTTCTATTTATTTTTTGGTTGTTTTTTTTTTTAGAAGAGAATGAAAAGCTTTAAAAAAAACATTACTTTGTTAAAATATACAGCTTTTGTTTGCTAAAAAAAATATTATTATCAACAATTCCTTTGTAAAAATAGTTAGTTTTTTTAAATCATACTAACTTTGTTTTATCAAACAGGTTGTTTTTTATGATAAATAAATACTATTTTTACTATTAGCAAAATCTTTTTATCATTGTTACTATCAAAACAGAATGGTTTACTTTAAAATAAATGCTAATAAATAGTATATTGCCTTTATTATTGATTAAATTTTTGCCAATTTTAATACAAAGATAGTTAACAAGTGTAAGTATATTTGATTGTTTAATATTCAAAGCCAGAGATGGTAAACAAGTGTAAGTATTCTTTGATTGTTTAATACTAAATAACTTAACTTTGATAAGCTTAACTCACCTTTATTATATATTCAAAGACAGAAATTGATAACTTTTTTAAAGAGTTCACCTTTTCTTTAGCAAAGGAGATGGTATCTTCTTTAAGGTGTTTTGTCATTAGTAAGGGAGATGGTGCCTTTATCACTCCTAAAAAGTATATATTAGAGTGTCTAGAAGACTGTGGTATATAAATCTGTTTACTTTAAAAATATTTTTGCTTATTGTCTTTGTAAATCATTTTTTAAAATCAAATACAATACAAAAAAATATTTTTAGAGTAAGCAGATTTATGCATCACAGTTTTCTGGACACTCTAGTATGTATGAGTGATACTTCTTTAGTTATTGAATACTTAATAAATTAATTTTATAAGTTTACTCATGTCTAATTATATATTTGAATTCAAAGATGGTTAACTAAAATACTGCTTTTTCAGCTAAAGAGTTAGTTAAAATCATATCTGTTATTATTCTTTAACTCTTAGTTATATATTAAATTAGAATCTAAATTACTTCTATATTAAAGATTATACTTTTAAAAAAAAAAAAAACTTATTTACAGCAAGTATTCTTCTTGCTAAAAGTCTCTTCTGATGTCTAGCGAAAGCAGATTCTAGGATTTATAAAAGGAATCAGGTTCTAGGATCTGTATCATAATGAGCTATCATGTGATTTAGAGATCAAATTCTTACTGATTTTTAAAAAGATCAGTCAGGATCAGTTAGAACCCGATCTCAAAGAACTAATTAATATCTTTACAAATAAGGTTCTTGCAGCTGTAAACCCTTATATCTATTAATACCTATCAGTGAATATATATCTTTTTGGTATAATATACACAGGTCGAATGAAGCCATATCGGGATAAAGCATGTCAAGTAAATATTGGAAACATATCAAGTATTCTGATATTTCAAGTAAATATTAGAAACATATCGGGTATCCTGATATTTCAAGTAAATATCATAGGGATATCAGTATAATCAATAGCCCTATAGAAAAGTCTATGAGTATTCTGATACATCTAAGGAATATAGAAATCAAATTGGTAACGTATCGAGCAAATCGATAAAACTATCGATAAATCTATATTTTAATGAAAGTTTGCTTATATTTACAAATA